AGGGACTATTTGGGACTTGTAACGAGACTTGGTGTTGACAACTTTCCCATCTCTCCCCTCCTCTTCGTCTGATCCCCTCCTCTTCGTCTGTGCATGGCTGGACCKGGCGCCTCTTCCTGTGTATAGCGCCAGGCCCCTTCACACCTTGTGGTGAGAATGATGTATGTTTAGTCTGCATTGCGACATTGATTGGGCTCGTCATAGTATTCTAGCCTTCTGCTGCGCTATCTTGTACTACGTGAAAGAGGTCAGTCCCGGTCAGGTCAGGACTTGTATCTAAATCTTCCACTGCGCTATAAAACACCATTGTTGTATGTATCAGGATGTACACTGCTTGTTGAGATTTCACTAGCACTGCATTGTCCATACAGTCCTTTTTATCACATTGCAGATCCTCGGTTTATTATGTACATCGCCCATCTGGGCATGTAACAGAGAGGGAGAGAGTTACCTGGTTGTTGGAAGAAATGGCCATAGCTGCTACACAAGACTTTGTTGTATAAGACTTCAGAATTTCCAAGCACATTCCGATGGGTTCTATACTGTGTTGATCTGCATCTCGTGTGTGGAGCTTTGGGTGATGAAGTGTGAAGCTTGTGATGTTTTGAGCAGCAGTTTGAATTCGTGGGATCATTGCACAAAGATAAAGAAGAGAGAGAAAACAATGAACACAAAGTCCACCGCATCTGCATGTGTGTGTTGTGTCTGTCTGAGCACTGATATTCCTGACCCTCTCTGTATTGTTGTTTTCTCTTCTGCGGTTGATGTTCATTACCTTGTTTGGTGTTTCATGAGCCTCCATTGATTACGCTCCAAAGAATGCAATGAGGAAACTGATTCACAAGCTTGATGTGGAGCTCCGTGGCCTGTACGTGTACTATAACACCCTAGAAGATCCAGAGCCCACTAGATCTACTATGATTAGTCTGCTTTCACGGAAGTGGAGTACAGTCAAGAGAACAAATCGACCTCGTTCTAGGTCCATTGCAGTTCCTAGTTCAGGAGTACGCAGAAGCCCTGCTATGAGCCGAACTTCGTCAATGAAATCTGTGGCCAGAACTTCCTCATTCAATTCCCTTGTCAGAAAGTCTTCGCCAAAATCTCTGAGCAGAACTTCTTCACTCAACTCTCAGACCAAGGACTCTTCAATTAAACCTCCGAGCAGAACTTCTTCACTCAACTCTCAGACCAAGGACTCTTCAATTAAACCTCCGAGCAGAACTTCTTCTTTTCAGAACCGAATCCACCAATACATGATGGAGAGAGCAACTGTATCGTCCTCAGCAGAATCTCTTAGTAGAGACTCCTCCCTTGCCAAACAAATCCACCAATCTGCGATGCAGACAGGATTACACTCCGTACCAAGCCCAGTTGATGAGAAAAGTCCATCAAGACGTGCGTCAAGACGCCTGTCAAGAGTCACGGTAAGGCGCCTATCAAGAAGCACATCAAAAGGCCCGCCAATAGGCGCAACAAGATGTTCGTCAAAACGCTTATCAAAGGCACACGAAATGCGAGCTCCGACGTGGCAAGATGCACAGACTTGGAAGGATGGAGTTCTTCACAGAAAGATGTTACTTCGCTTTTTTTGGCGGCTTGTCCGCGACTGCCGCATGCTTTGTCGAGCACTTCCACTGGCTGACATTGATCATTTGGCATCTACCAGCACGTGGGACGAAGAATTCGCCAAAGCTATGTTGCTCGATCCTCATAACGGAGCAGTCTCAACCGTATCTTACTATGAATTCATAGAGTGTTTGATCCGATGTGCGTGGGCACTCCATCCTAACCTAAGGTACTTTCATTACCCATGCAGTCTTTTTGAAGGGCATAGCCCCGAATGTTATTACAAGCATCTGATCCAGGTCCAATTCAAATCCATGATCTGTTTATTAACATTTTATGATTTTACACGTGTGTACCAATCTGCGACATTGGCTAAGTTTTTCTGCTTGGCTATTGAGGTTGTACTTTCTGCAATTTGAGCCACATATGGTAATTACCCGCATGTTGCATGCAGTATTTGTGAAAGCTATGGCATCTGAGGCACATACTGGGGCCAGTAGTTGTTCTTGTTCACTATCAATATGTTGAGAATTTGATCTCATGCTCATAGACAGACAAGCTACCCTGTGCTCAGGCACTCTCATCTATCCTGTTCGCAGACCTCCATTCTTTTCTTCATTCGTTTCTTTCGATTTCTTTCGTCCTTCCCTTGCTTTTTTCTTCCTTTCTTTCCTTTCTTACATTCTTCTGTTCCTTGTCGTCCATCATTTTCCACTGTCCCTCCTCCACCTTGCTGCTTTTCTCTCCCTCTACTTCAGCCCTCTGCCCTGTCTTCTCCCCGTCTCTCCTTTTACTTCAGCCCTCTGCCCTGTCTTCTCTCCTTGCCTTCTTCACATCTTTCTCCCTTACCTCTTCCTCCTCTGTTCAGTTCTCGGATCCTTTTTCCCTTCACTTTTCTATTCGTGAATTAGCTCCTTCCTCCTTCCCCTCCTTCCTCTCCTTACCCTTGGCCCCTTCTTCACGTTCCTTTTCCCTTTTCTTTCTCACATCTCCATATCTTCCCCTCACACCTGTTTCCGCCATTCCTTCCCTCCCTCCGACTCTTGTCTTTACCGCCCGTTGACCCTCTCTTCCCGCCCATCTACCCTCTATTTCACTGGTCCCTCCTTCACTTTCTACAATAATTTTCACCCTGGTTCACGTTTCCTTCACACTGTAATTTTTGGCCCACCTTCCCCCTTCTCTCCTCTCCCTCCTTTCCCTCCATTCCCTCCTTGGTCCCTCCTCCTCTTTCCCCTTAACCTCTGTCCCCTTCCCCCCCTTTCCTGCCCTCCCCTTGTTCCTGCCCTTGGCTCGTCCCTGCTCTTACCTTCTTCCACCTGTTCCCTTCCCTCCTCTTCCTCCTTCCCTCCTCCCTATCTGTCATCCTTCCGTCCTGCCACTCTCCCTGTCTCCCACCTTCTTCCTCCTCCCCTGCTGTTCTCTTACCCTCTTTCCTCTCACCCCCTCGCTTCCTTCTGCACCTCATTTCCTCACTTGCTCCCTTCCCCACATTCCTTACGCCTCCCATTTCCTCCATTCTGCTCTTCTCCCTTACCTTGACCCTCCTCTCTCCCCTTCCCTCCTCCCTCCCTCTTTCCTACCTGCCGACTCATTTCCTCCTCCTGATCCTCTTCCCTCCCTCCCCTGCCCCTTCACTCCCTTTTGCCCCTGTCTCCCTGTCCTTCCCTCCCTTCCTGCCATCTTCTTCCCACCGTCCCGCCTCCCTGTTGTTCCCTCCCAACCCTCCTTTCGTCCATGTTCCTCCCTTCCCTTCCTCTTTCTTTCTTCTCCCACCCCTTCTTCCTCCCTCTGCTCCCCCCTCCTCCTTCCCTCCTTTCTCAGTTCGTTTTTCCACCCCTAACCCCTTGTCCGCCTCGCCCAGCCTCTCACCTTCAGTTCCTTCCTCCTCCCCCCTCCCAATCCCTCTCCCCCCAATGTCCCGGCTCCTTGGAAACAGTTTCAGATTAGGGTCAAGTTGGGGCAACTGTGGCAATGATGTTGCTGAGTGCCGCAATTTCGTCCTTCTAGAGCAACTCCCCCTATGCTGCCAGAAGTTGAAGATGATGCTTTAGGCGTGTCCTTTTAACATCCCTCCAGAAGCTAGTGGCTGGTAAAGGCAGACACCGCTAGCTCCCTCGCGGGTGCTGATCCGGTATCCGTGATGGTATTGCGCAACTCGAATTTTTTGGTCGCTTGATCGGACGGTTGAGAGGATTGGGCCCCGTGGTTCTGACATGGGCACCGGGTACCGTAAATCCAAAGGTACCTTCCTACACGACGAAGCTGCTCTTCCTTTCTCAGCGCTCCCGCTGCATGTAAGTGGAAGGGTAGTATACTGCAGTACATACTTCGTAGGCACGAAGGTTTGCGCTCGTTCTCGACTATGGATGTTCTGGGTTGGCATGTACTCAATGATGGGATTCACCAGATGCTGTGGGAATATGATGAGACAAGTACGGGGCTGCAGTTTGTGGAAAGAAGAAAGGAGTTTGTTTGTTTGGACTTGGGCAATAAAATACGGTACATAGACTACAGCCGGTGGAGCATGTTGGTTCCAATGTGCAGAGCTGCTCAGGATCAGGGCCATACGGTACGTGGACCACTGGCTGGATGAGACACCTCAACATTAGTAAGGAATCCATGCACCCGGTTAGGTGGTTCCACACCATCAGAGGAAAACCAGCCAAACCCTCCAACTCCACCACTTCAGCCAGAGCTCTGCGTAACTCACCCTCTGGGAGGAGCAACAGCATGAACTCTTGGAAAAAATGTGATGGCCCACTCACTGCACCGACTGATATATCTTGCCTCCTGGCCTCTAGCTCTTCCCCAGTCGGGTAAGACTGCCTCTACCTGTGTGACGGGCAACCTCATGCCAACACTGTTTTTCGATTGGAGTAGGTTTGTAGGCCTGGGAAAATCCGAGAAAGGGGGTGTGCCAAGGATTTTTTAGTGAAGAGCGGGCTGAAGTTCCAGGTTGGAACTGGAATCTCCATGCATCAGTTTCTGGATAAGTTTCGAGGGTAAAGGAAGGGAGAGATGACAATTCAATTTGCCAGTTCCGGAGGGACCATTGCCGCACCAATGAAAAACTAGGTTATTTACACGAACAACAACTATGCCTCACGAAATTGCAAAAATTACGAACGGCTAGGTTGTCAACAACACCTTCGCTTTGCAGGGCAAAACATTGCGGGTGTTCATGGAGATCAGCGATGGTGTGCTTACGTGTCCCGCAAAGTTTGGAATCCAAAGTGGAAGGCCGAAGTCGAGCCTTTCCTTTGCGGGCTTCGTTCTCCGTGTGGGATGTACAAACAAAACCCCGTCAGCGAGAGCGATCTTCACGCCTACACTCGGATGTTGGCTCGTGTAGATCAGCGATGGTGTGCTTACGTGTCTTGCAAAGTTTGGAATCCAAAGTGGAAGGCTGAAGTCAAGCCTTTCCTTTGTGGGCTTCCTCCCCTGTGCGGGATGTGCAGGCAACACCACGTCGGCAATAGTGATCTTCACGCCTACACTCGGAACAAAGTGTTTTCGCTGAGCTTTTCGGCCAAAAAGGCATTGTGGTGGGCCACGAGTTGACTGCCAGCTCATAGCATGGCAATAAGGGGGAAAGGAACTTGCTGCTTCACACAAATCCCGCTGACTTAACATGTGTTTGTTGCTCGTTATACGGAGAAGCCGGAACGCGCGGATCAGAGACCTGAACGCACATGATGGATTACGCAGAGTCCATCAGGCGAAATGAAATGTTGAGAGTAAACAAACATTTGTGATCCTACATTCTTTGATGCACCAAGCAGGGCATAATGATCACAACATCATCCATGCATGCAATAGATTCTGCGATTCCATCAACACACTAAAGCACAATCCAAACCATCGACCATGAAAGAGATAAGGGCAAGACTTCAGTCAAGAAAACAGATTGATCGTCATTTAGACCGATCCCAATACTCATATCCAGACAGCACTCAGTTTCAGGCATCACACACGAGGTCGAGAAAAAGATTTGCACCGTAGAAAAGGTTTCATTGCCATCAACACAAAAGACACCAATGAGGGAAAAAAGCACATTACTCCACTCTCTGCCACGTGGCTCTTTGCAAGGGACCAACCAGTCTCACCACCGTGTACAGGAGCATCGACAGTCCGTCGTCACACACCCGCTCAGACCCTCCAGCAATCGCTACCTCACCAATCTGACTGCCACAGAAGTTCGCACATTCCCTGCAATCGGTTGCGGCGGCCAGGCAACTTCGCTTGATCACAATCAGCAGGTCAGGACTTTTTTTTTTTTTTTAATATATGAAGTCCAGGTTGCTGTAGAGGTTGGAAGCCAGACATCTGACAGTCACCTTCGATAGTCTGCCATTTGCTTATCCAGATGGTCTGTAGAGGTCCCTATTCCTTATGAGACTCCCTCCCTCCCGCTCTCGTTATTTTTCTCCCTGGCGCACCCCTACTCCCACAATCCCACCTCATTGTTTACCACTCGGGATTATCACCCACACATAAACTGTACGGGGATGACGTGACCAGATAGTGGTTGTAGGCACCAGGGATGAGCGGGACCTATCCAGGTCAGTTCTGATTGAAGCACAGTCGAGCCCTGTCATACAGGGACTTCGAGCGCCAGGCGTAGACATTCTTCTACAAGTCCCATAGGTGGACCCATTCCTGTCCCCTAAGCCATTTGTATTCCTTGTTCTGCTTGTAGCTTGTTGTATTGTTCATTATATGTACCGTGGTTATTGTGATTGCAACCCAGAGGGTTCTAGCCGATTATCAGTAGACTTACGGCCACCATTCGCACCTCTACCTATAGACGTCCAACTAGACCCCTCTCTGGTCAAATTGTCGTGGTCGTACTATTTTTATTCTGATCGTTGTTGGTTGTAAGCCATCTGGAGGTACCCTAGCCTCTGTCATTGGTGGGTCTATGGCCACCATCCTTCCCCTTACCTCGTTCATCAACTAGACCCTCCAGCCGCTGTATCGTAGGTTGTCATCACCCGGAGAAGCCCCAGTTTCCACCATCAGTACATTCTAGGCCACCACCCGTTCCACTTACCTTCATCATCAACCAGGTGAGTCTATTTGTCAACGTAGGAAGCAGGCTATCCCACCATTATCTATACCTAAGACAGCCCCTACTGCAAGATCCCACCCATAGTCCTCGTCCAGCGCAGCACTGGTCTCAGTCATTGGCACGTACTAGGCCACCATCTGTTCCTCTTACCTCTT